TAGTAAGCCGACAGCTAACATCAAATTGAACGGAGAGAAACTCAAGGCCATTCCACAAAAATCAGGAACACGACAAGGTTGTCCACTCTCTCCGTACCTCTTCAATATAGTGCTTGAAGTTCTAGCAATAGCAATAAGACAACATAAGGGGATCAAGGGCATTAGAATTGGAAAGGATGAAGTTAAACTCTCGTTATTTATAGACAATATGATAGTGTACATAAGCGACCCCAAAAACTCTACCAAAGAACTTCTACAATTGATAAACACCTTTAGTAATGTGGCAGGATACAAGATCAACTCCAAAAAATCGGTTGCCCTCCTATACACAAATGATAAAGAAGCAGAGAGGGAAATCAGAAAAACATCACCTTTCATGATAGCCACAAATAGCATAAAATATCTTGGGGTAACTCTAACCAAGGAAGTGAAAGACCTATTTGACAAGAACTTTAAGTCTTTGAAGAAAGAAATTGAAGAGGAAACCAGAAAATGGAAAGACCTCCCCTGCTCTTGGATTGGGAGAATAAACATAGTAAAAATGGCAATTCTACCAAAAGCAATCTATAGATTCAACACAATTCCCATCAAAATTCCATCAAACTTCTTCACAGACCTTGAGAGAAAAATAATCAAGTTTATATGGAAAAACAAAACACCCAGGATAGCCAAAACAATTTTATACAATAAAGGAATTTCTGGAGGCATTAGCATCCCTGACTTCAAACTCTATTACAGAGCTACAGTATTGAAAACAGCTTGGTATTGGCATAAGAATAGAGAAGTCGACCTATGGAATCGAATAGAAGACCCAGATATTAACCCACAAACGTATGAACACTTGATGTTTGACAAGGGAGCTAAAGGTATACAATGGAAGAAGGAAAGCATCTTTAACAAATGGTGCTGGCATAACTGGATGTCAACCTGTAGAAGAATGAAAGTAGATCCATATCTATCACCATGCACAAAACTCAGGTCCAAATGGATTAAAGACTTCAACATTAATCTCACCACTTTGAACCTGATAGAAGAGAAAGTGGGAAGTAGTCTACAAGATATAGGCACAGGAGATCAGTTCCTAAGCAGAACCCCAGGAGCGCAGACAATAAGAGAAGCAATGCATAAATGGAACCTCCTGAAACTGAGAAGCTTCTGCAAAGCAAAGGACACTGTCAGTAAGACAAAAAGGCTACCTTCCGACTGGCAGCAGATCTTAACAAATCCCTCATCAGACAAAGGTCTGATCTCCAAAATATACAAAGAACTCAAGAAACTAGACACAAAACTCTAATTAACCCAATTAAAAAATGGGGTACTGAACTGAACAGAGAATTCACAACAGATGAACTCCGAATGGCCAAAAGGCACTTAAGGTCATGCTCAACCTCCTTAGCGAACAGGGAAATGCAAATCAAAACAACTTTGAGAATTCATCTTACACCTGTCAGAATAGCCAAACTCAAAAACACCAATGATAGCCTATGCTGGAGAGGATGTGGAATGAGGGGAACACTCATCCATTGTTGGTGGGAATGCAAACTTGTGCAGCCACTGTGGAAATCAGTGTGGCGGTTTCTCAGGAAACTGGGAGTCAACCTCCCTCAGGACCCAGCAATTCTACTCTTGGTAATATACCCAAGAGATGCCCTATCATACTACAAAAGCATTTGTTCAACTATGTTGATAGCAGCACTATTTGTAATAGCCAGAACCTGGAAACAACCTAGGTGCCCCTGAATAGAAGAATGGTTAATAAAGGTGTGGAACATATACACATCCTACTCAGCGGTAAAAAACAATGACATCTTGAATTTTGCATGCAAATGGATGGAAATAAAAAATGCTTTACTGAGTGAGGTAAGCCAGACCCTAAAAGAGGAATATGGTATGTATTCACTCATATGTGGATTCTAACCATAATTAAAGGTCTTTGAGCCTATTATTCGTGATCCTAGAGAAGCTAAATAAGAAGGTGAACCTGATGAAAATCATGTAGCTATCTGCCTGGAGATTGGAATTAGACAAGAGTCCCAGGTAACCTCGGGTGCATGGGAAGGTGGGAGGGTTGTTGGAAGGGGAGAGGGTTAGAGAGAAGGGAGTAGGGGAGGAATGGGGAAAGCTAGGTGGACTGGGATGGGGGGAGGGAGGAAGGATGGATATGAGACCAGGGAAGAATATATTTCAACTAAGGGAGTCATCTTAGGGTTTACAGGAGACTTGATTATAAATGGGATCACATGTCCAAGGAGATCCCCAGATTGTTCTCTGAACAGAAGAGGGTGCCTGAAACAGCCTAGGCCCATAACCATACTGATGAATATTTTGCTTATCACCATAGAACCTTCATCTGGCGCTGGATGGGGATAGAGACAGAGACCCACATCGGAACACTGGACTTAACTCCCTAGGTCCAAACAAGAAGCAGAAGGAAAGTGAAAGTGAGCAAAGACGGCAAGATCAGAGGGAACCTTCACCCGGCGATGGATGGTGATGCAGACGAAGACCCACATTGTAGCACCGGACTGAGCCCCCCAAGGTCCAAATGAGGAGCAGAAGGAGGAAGAAAATGAAAAAGGAAATAAGGATTGTGAGGGATGCGATCACCCACTGATACAAGGGGACGGATCTAATGAGAGTTTACCAAGGCCAGTTGGACTGGGACTGAACGAGGACGCAATCCAACCAGATTCTCTGAATGTGGCCAGATTCTCTGAATGTGGCTGGCCCGGAGTCTTTCTGAAAAGCCATTGACAATGGCACTTGGACTTGTTTCCTCTGCATATACTGGATTTTGCGGATCCAGTCGTCTGGACACTCATCTTCCTGGACCTGGAGGGAGGCAGGAGGAACTTGAACTTCCCACTGGGCAGGAAACCCTGACTGCTCTTAGGGATGGAGAGGGAGGAGGAGAAGGAGTGGGGGGAGTGGGAGGGTGGTGGGAGGAGGGGCGGAAATGGAAACTTTTATAATTTAATAAAATTACAAAAAAAAAGAATGGCAAACTCTATTAGTCATATCAAAGGTTAGTGAAGAAGTAGGAAACTCTCCAGATGATTTAAGACTAAGAGGCTTTAAATAGGGAAGTAGCTACACAGCTAAATAAAAGACAGGAGTACCCTCGCCAGACTAGCCGAAGGATGTCTTAAAACAGTATAAACTTCTAGAAACCATTTGAACATAGATTGGAGTGATGATACCATAAATCAGAAGCTGAAATATTCAAAAGAAGCTATAATCAGCAGAGATGGTCTAGCAGAAGATGTGTCTATAAAGATAAAAGCTATACAGATAGGAGCAAGTTCCTAAAAAGGCACATAGTTCAGGCCAGCAACTGTGAGTTTAAGAGATAATCTTCAGTGAAGATATAGTCCACCTACCATATAGTGGTAGAGTACTTCCCAAGTATATGTATATCATTGAGTTACACCTTTACCACTAAAACTACCAGTGCATGCATGTGCACACATACACACACACACACACACACACAGAGAGAGAGAGAGAGAGAGAGAGACAGAGACAGAGAGAGAGACAGACAGACAGACAGGCAGGAAAGCAAGCAGAAATACACAAAATAATTAAAAAAATATATCCCTCTATACTTGCAACTCTCCAGGACCTTTCAATGGGTGAATATACCTGGAAACCTAAAACACATTATGGACAAAATAGTAGGAACAGACAAGTTAGGAGACAGTGGGGAAAGAAATAGATCTAAGATCAAACAAAAACAATTTAAAAAATGGCCAGAAGAGTATATAAGGAGAATTGAGAAAACAGATATCTGTTTCACCGGTTATAACCTTAACTGTACACTGAATGTCTTGTAGATTAACGTCTGAATTCTACAAAGAAAAGAAATGGGCAAGAGGGACTTGAAATCACAGTGAAAGGAGTTATTTATACTTAAAACCTCATGTTCTATTGACAATTGAACAGCTGGGAAAATGTGCACTCAACATCATCCATGTTCTCATCTTTAGAACAAGTGGATGTGATAAAGGGAAACTTGAAGATAGAAGTAAGAGGAAGGGAGGTGAATCACATGGGCTCTGAAAAGCAAGAAATCTTCCCTAACAACAGCCGTAAGGATGTTTACGTGTGAAAGATAGAGTGTTGCCTGCTTTAAATGCAGAAGAAGGAAATCACACCAAAGAATGGAATGCTCCCCATATCACCTTACTTGGACTCTATTGTATTCCTAATTTACAAAATTATAAGAAGGTTTACTTGCCTTGTTATTGGGTACCAAGTTTGTTAGAACCACAGGAGAGCACTAGTAAGAGGAAAAGCAGGCTTGCAGAGTTTCAGCTATAATGTTTAACTCAATACTTAGAGATCCCATTGTTAGTACTTGCTTTCATTCCACTATTTGGAAGAGTGATGGAAGAATATAAGCTTAAGACCATCCTGAGCTACATAGGAAACTCTCTTTCCAGAAAAATAAGAATAGATAAAAGAGAAAGAGATAACTTCCTGACACTGTTTGCATGGTCCAGAAAAGTGTGATGGCTTTGCTGCCTTGTCCTCTCTATAGAAATTAGCATCAGCATAGTGATCCCATGGGAGATGCTTTCAGTGTGTGTTGGAAGGTGAAGAAGCTCATGATGGAGCCTGCAGGCGAAGATCTTTGAACACCTAAGAAGTCACAGTGGAAAGTAACATCAGTTACAATGAACTCGATTAAGGGACTTAACCAATGCCATACAAAAGCAGACAGGATGCCTCTGTGGACTCACACTGACAAAGCCAAAAATTTTGATGACATTCTTGTATTTCCTCATTCTGACACCCAGCATAACTGAACTTGAAGAAGCTACAAAAGTCTTAGCTGGAAGTCTTAAGTAATGAATGACAACTCAACACTGTATTTTAAGCATAATCTTAAGAGATTAAGAAATACTTTAGAGAAATAAATTAGTTACTGAAAGCATTGATTAAGTAGCTATTGCTTAATTCTCTGAATTCTAAAGAGTGCAAGAATAAACCAGACTTACGTTTTAGTGTAGTCAACAGGCTTGAAGCTTATCCAAAAAGTTGTTTGCAGCTTTTGTCCTGAAAAAAACAAAATTTAGAATCTTATTTAATCCTTGAAAATAATCTTACAAGATGTGGCATTTGATATAAATATTTCTCATACTTTTTTAAGTAATTATGTAACTTGGCATCAATACAGTGTATCTTACTTGTTTTGAGTTATTTTGCAATCCTGTGAAAATATGTTTCTAAGGCAGTATTTTGGAATCTCTACACCACTCTGACCCCTACCCCCATTTCTTCCCTAATATTACAGGGTGAAATGCATGGAGGCAGAAGTACACGGAAGATGAATTGAAAACGGTTGACATTTGGGATGCCAAATACCACTAGCAATGATCTAAGCATAAAAGCAGTCGTTTCCCAATCTCTTTTCCTCAAACGAAAATTTTAATAATGTTATAAATCCAAGTCAGCACCTCAAATGATTTTGTGCTCTTTGGATCAGTTTTCTCTCTAGGATACGGGTTTGAAAACAGCTCTCTCTTTAGCAACAGAATATCAAAGCCAAGCTGTACATTGTTCATTAAACACATGAACCCCAGACTCGACAGCTATCCATTTCTCTTCCTTTCTCACCTACTAATAGTCATCTAGAATAATCCATATTGTCCACATCCTTGAACAGCTCTGAACCAAGATAACTCTCAATGTTTGCATATGAACATAGGCTCTTATATTTTTAATTCACCCTTGGTGTTCAATACTTCTGCTCTCAAGGAGATGATCACTTTCTAGATCATCATAATAATGACATTGCAAATATCAGATTTGGGGATGAAATGTTCTATTAATCTACATTAGGCATATTTTTAATTTTTCATATACAAATGAAATAGAAATAAATGAGCCAAAATATATACATTACAAGTGAAATAATCTTTCAGCTGAAGTATTGTGCACTTGAAATTTTGGTACCAATAATTTGTCCATCAAAAGTAGCCCTCCAGAAGTGGTGGCACATGTTGTCAATCCCAGCACTTGGGAGGCAGAGGTAAGTGGATCTCTGTGAGTTCCAAGACAGCCAAGGTTACACAGAGAAACCATGTCTATAAATAAATAAATAAATAAATAAATAAATAAATCTTTAAAAATAATTAGCTCTATGATGAAGCACCTGTTGCTGGCCTGCAGAGTGAAGAGTAGAGTTGGGATTCCCCTAACTCACATAAAGTCAGCTGTGGAAGTACAAGTCTGTAACTCCAACACACCTGCAGCAAGATGTCTAGTGGTGACAACAATCTCCAGACACTTGTGACTCAGTTTTTCTGACATATGCAATGTAGAACAAGAGAACCTGTCTCAAGCAAGGTGGAAGGTGAAAACCAACACCAGAGGTTGTCCTCTGTTCTCTAGTTGGATCATTCACATTTCCCAGTAAATCTTCAAGCTATTTCCAAGAGCAAAATGGTCTTTCTTATTCCACAATATATGCATTTCTTCAATATGTAACAATCATAGCATTTCAGGGACTGTTATATGAGCATATCTACCCATAAGTTATCTGCAGGGTATACCCCCTTTAGCCATTTCCTGTTGTGGTTATGACACTTGTAATATTTCCACTATTTTTGGCTTTGATCAGATAGTTTCCTGGAGTGTTGAGGAAGATAATCTTTATCAGATGAAGAAGGGCATTTTATTCTATCTTTTGAAGTACTCAAAAACTTCAAAATTCTACTAAGTCAAGCAACTGAAACTTATCCTCTCCCTTTAATCCCTGGTGCCTCTCTTCACCTGCAGTGGTGACTGTGGGGACAGATGGGAATGATGCTCAAAGCACAGAACAATAAGGTCTGCTGAAAAGAGTTCTCTGTATCCTCAGCTGATCTTAGCTGAGATGCATACTTTTCTGTGTTAAGCCACTGATCGTGTTGGGAAATTTGTTACTGCATCATCCTAAATAGTAAGATTTTTGATTTTTTTTTCAGTAAATTTTATTAAATTACAAAAGTTCCCATCTCCGCTCCCCCTCCCAACACCCTCCCACTCCTCCCACCCCCCCTCCTCCTCCCGCTCCGTCCCCCAGGGCAGTCAGGGTTTCCTGCCCCTTGGGAAGCCCCAGTTCCCTCCCCCTCCCTCCAGGTCCTGGAAGGTGAGCGTCCAAACAGACTGGATCCCCAAAATCCAGCATATGCAGAGGAAACAGGTCCCAGTATCATAGTCAATGGCCCTTCAGAAAGACTTCGGGCCAGCCACAGTCAGAGAATCCGGCCAAATTCCGAGAATCTGGTTAGATCACCTCCTCGTTCAGTCCCAGTCCAACTGGCCCCGGTAAACTCTCATTAGATCCGTTCCCCTGTATCAGTAGGTGACAGCATCCCTCGCAGTACTGATTTACTTTTTCATGTTCTTCCTCCTTCCGCTCCTCATCTGGACCTCGGGGGGCTCAGTCCGATGCTCCAATGTGGGTCTCCGACTGCATCGCCGTCCTTCGCCAGACGAAGGATCTATGGTGATAAGCAAAATACACATCAGTATGGTTATGGGCCACGGCCGATTCAGGCACCCCCTCCTCTGTCCAGAGAACAATCTGGGGGAATCTCTCCTTGGACCTGGGATCCCATATATAATCAAGTCTCCTGTAAACCCTAAAATGACTCCCTTAGTTGAAATATATTCTTCCCTGATCCCATATTCATCCTTCCTCCCTCCCCCCCCCATCCCAGGCCACCGAGCTTTCCCGTTCCTCCCCTACTCCCTTCTCTCCAACCCTCTCCCCCTCCACCAACCCTCCCACCCCTCCATGCACCCGAGGTTACCTGGGACTCTTGTCTATTTCCTACCTCCTGGTGGATAGCTAAATAATCTTCATCAGGTTCATCTTCTTATTTAGCTTCTCTAGGATCACGAATAATAGGCTCAAAGACCTTTAATTATGGTTAGAATCCACTTATGAGTGAATACATACCGTGTTCCTCTTTTTGGGTCTGGCTTACCTCACTCAGTAAAGCGTTTTCTATTTCCATCCATTTGCATGCAAAATTCAAGATATCATTGTTTTTTACCGCTGAGTAAAACTCTAATGTGTATATGTTCCACACCATTTTTAACCATTCTTCTATTGAGGGGCACCTAGGCTGTTTCCAGGTTCTGGCTATTACAAATAGTGCTGCTATGAACATAGTAGAACAAATGCTTTTGTAATATGTTAGGGAATCTTTAGGGTATATTCCCAAGAGTGGAATTGCTGGATCCTGAGGGAGGTTGACTCCCAGTTTCCTGAGAAACCGCCACACTGATTTCCACAGTGGCTGCACGAGTTTGCATTCCCACCAACAATGGATGAGTGTTCCCCTCACCCCACATCCTCTCCAGCATAGGCTATCGTTGGTGTTTTTGACTTTAGCTATTCTGACAGGTGTAAGATGGTATCTCAAAGTGGTTTTGATTTGCATTTCCCTGATCGCTAAGGAGGTTGAGCATGACCTTAAGTGTCTTCTGGCCATTCGAAGTTCATCTGTTGTGAATTCTCTGTTCAGTTCAGTACCCCATTTTTTAATTGGGTTAATTAGAATTTTAGTGCCTAGTTTCTTGAGTTCTTTGTATATTTTGGAGATCAGACCTTTGTCTGATGAGGGGTTGGTGAAGATCTTCTCCCAGTCAGAAGGCAGCCTTTTTGTCCTACTGACAGTGTCCTTTGCTTTACAGAAGCTTCTCAGTTTCAGTAGATCCCATTTATTCATTGTTTCTCTTATTGTCTGTGCTGCTGGGGTCCTACTTAGGAAGAGGCCTCCTGTGCCTATATCTTGTAGACTACTTCCCACTTTCTCTTCTATCAGGTTCAAAGTGGACGGATTAATGTTGATGTCTTTAATCCATTTGGACTTGATTTTTGTGCATGGTGATAGATATGGATCTACTTTCATTTTTTTACAGGTTGACATCCAGTTATGCCAGCACCATTTGTTAAAGATGCTTTCCTTCTTCCATTGTATACCTTTAGCTCCCTTGTCGAAAATTAGGTGTTCATAAGTTTGTGGGTTAATATCTGGGTCTTCTATTCGATTCCATAGGTCGACTTCTCTGTTCTTATGCCAATACCAAGCTGTTTTCAATACTGTAGCTCTATAATAGAGTTTGAAGTCAGGGATGGTAATGCCTCCAGAAGTACTTTTATTGTATAAGATTGTTTTGGCTATCCTGGGTTTTTTGTTTTGCCATATAAACTTGATTATTTTTCTCTCAAGGTCTGTGAAAAAGTTTGATGGGATTTTAATGGGGATTGCATTGAATCTGTAGATTGCTTTTGGTAGAATTGCCATTTTTACAATGTTGATTCTCCCAATCCAAGAGCAGGGGAGGTCTTTCCATTTTCTGGTATCCTCCTCAATTTCTTTCTTCAAAGACTTAAAGTTCTTGTCAAATAGGTCTTTCACTTCTTTGGTTAGAGTAACCCCAAGATATTTTATGCTATTTGTGGCTATCATGAAAGGTGATGCTTCTCTGATTTCCCTCTCTGCTTCTTTATCCTTTGTGTATAGGAGGGCCACTGATTTTTTGGAGTTGATCTTGTATCCTGCCACGTTACTAAAGGTGTTTATCAGCTGTAGGAGTTCTTTGGTAGAGTTTTTGGGGTCACTTATGTAAACTATCATATCGTCAGCAAATAACGACAGTTTAACTTCATCCTTTCCAATACGAATCCCCTTGATCTCCTTATGTTGTCTTATTGCTATTGCTAGAACTTCAAGCACTATATTGAAGAGGTATGGAGAGAGTGGACAGCCTTGTCGCGTTCCTGATTTTAGAGGAAAGGCTTTGAGTTTCTCTCCATTCAGATTGATGTTAGCTGTCGGCTTGCTGTATATTGCTTTTATTATATTTAGGTATGATCCTTGTATCCCCAGTCTCTCCAACACCTTTATCATAAATGGGTGTTGAATTTTGTCAAATGCTTTTTCAGCATCTAGTGAGATGATCATGTGGTTTTTTTCTTTCAGTTTATTTATATGATGAATTACATTGATAGATTTGCGTATGTTGAACCAGCCCTGCATCTCTGGAATGAAGCCTAC